TATATATATATATATATATATATATATACTTACATGTATGTATATTATATCTCAGGTGCATAGACAGAGGGATCGAATTTTTAAGTGTGGGTTGGGTTATGCGTATCGAAATGAATGGGTCTGCTGCGAGTCTTTTTCTGTTTTCAGAAGTCGCCTACCGAGACAGTGGAGTACCAAAGGCCTGCGTAAGCTTTTGGGCGTCTTTGTAACAGCGAAAAACCTCGAAATATGCGAGAAAGCCACAGGGTACGTGTGCAAGCAACGACTCATAGAAAGCAGTAGCATCGTGCGCGTGTTGTTATCATTTGCTGCAGCCTCTCGTTGCAGGCGAAGGTGCAATCAGCTCAGGCGGCGTTGGCTCCACTCTACGTGCTGGCGAAGAAGGTAAAGTGGTGTAGGCAGATGCATGCATTGTTAGTTGGATGCAATCAGTTGTTTTGCTGCGGTTTGTTCATTGGGGCCTGCGTGCTGAGGCCTGGTATTTGCTTCACTTTTGCGGCTGAACACAGGATAGGGGAAGACCTGGGACGCCATCGAGCCGCAACGAGAAGAGACGGAGGATGTAACGATAGGTTCATTGGGGTGTATATGTACCAGACTAGTATATGTATTGCGTGTTTTATACGAGATGTTGCATCATCTATATGTATATGTGTATAGATAGAGGATCTGCATTCTTCCCTCTTGATGTACTGTGCTTCACAGGTGCGGTGGCTGCTGAGTCTTCAAATGGTTTTGTGTTGCAGTCGTGATAGAGCCATCGTTATTTATATAGTAGATAGGTTGTTTGGCGAAAAGCTTGAGCAAGTGTCCTCTGCAAGGCTTTCGGTGCCTTGGAAGTGTTCACTGAGATGAATGCGTGCAAACAAAATTGACAGAGGAAAGGAGGGGAAAGGCTGTTCACTCCCCCGGCCACGCGGGCGCCGATTCGAACGGTGGCCATACACTGCAGAGAAGTTCGCCTTGGTACCAGATCTTCTGTGGGTTTATATCTATTTATATACATTATATATATGTGTACGCACGCACATGTATACAAATATATATCATTTTCCGCAAGTATTGCACGCCTGCCTATATTTATGTACCGGCATATGTACATATATTAATACATACATGAGAAAATTATGTACAAATGTACATACATATATATATAACTGTTGTATATACTATATTCACGACAAACACGTAGTTGTCGTCATCTGCAATGGCTGAACGTCTCCATTGTTTTGTTAGGGCCCTGACCCTCTTGCAAATGCATTTCGGGCTGGGCTTGGGTAGCGCGACAACGCGAAGACGAATGTGTGGAGGAAGGAAGTTGTTCAAGTGTTCTTTTTCTTCTTGGAGTACTTCTGCTCCAGTTCCTCCAAAAAACGATTTGATGCGGCTTCCCTTTTGCGCACGTTTCCCTGAGAAGGAAGCATATATATATATATATATATATATA